GTTGAAATACGTACTGGTTGATGAAAACTGAAAATACTCTCAACATCAATAGGATAATATCCGCTTTTGTTTTTCTGTTACAAACAGCCAAGAAAATAACAGATATGAAAATTGTAGACCGTTGTAAAACGTTTTATCGTGTATAACTAATAAACGTTTTCTTGACAAAAAGTCTTATTTTACTGAGTAATTTTCAGAACAACTCGTGCCTTTCTTGAATTTCGACAAAACAAATATATTACTTTTCCTTTGATGTATTAGTGGAAAACTTGGTTTGAGCAACACACTTCCCTTTCATCGTGTTTCCTACAGTCCTCCTTATCTTGCTACACGGTTGCCAAGTAGTTTTCATGCCCTCTTCATACGATCTCCTGCATGACAGTCTCACGCCAAAGTCAAACTTGTCATTTTTTGCCGACTTACACTGGGGCGTCGACGATTTATGCGATTTGACTAAACGATCTCCCCAACATATCCTCAGTCAACATCCATCTCATTCGGCATACCTTCTGATTGATTGCTCGACGTTGGTTCTTCGCCGGAATTCATTGTTGTTGATACTTTCTGGCTGACCAACTAATCTTCAGCGTCAGTTAGCTAAGACAGTTCTTGATCAGCGTCGCAATTGTCAGTCAGAAGTGCTTCTGGTGATGCATCAAGTCTCTTGATGATTCAAACATTAAATCACGTATCAGTGAGAGATGGTTGAATTGTGAAACTTGGTTGAGTAGTCTTACTTAATCTAAACTCAATGAGGTTTCATAAGACTACTCGAACTAGTTCCTCAATCTATCCACTTTCCATTTGATAAGTTGTATAGCCTTTCAGCTTGGGCTTCGTCTATTCGCCTCCCATTTAACACTACTATTTCTCCACTTTATCACCAATGAGAAAGTAGTTGTGTGACCAGATTGTTGGGAATGAGTTATTTTCCGTTCACGTTTTCTGAGATCTGTGACGTATTGCAAACCTTCCATTGTCCTTCTACACAGCGTCTTCAGTGCAAGCTTCAACACAAAGTTGTAGTCGAGAAAGGCAGTGAGAGCTTGCCAATTTAATCACCAACCTCAGAAAACCGCTAGAAAAGGCGTATTCATAGACTTCTACGAATGGTGAAAACGTCAACAGATTGCCATCAATGTGATGAGTATTGCCTGCAAACAGAAATACTACAATCAGATCCATTGACAAGGAGGGTTATGTCTACTTGCTACGCTAATGAATTTCTATACCCACATCGTTCACCTTCAAGACGTCTCAGTCACACAGTTGAACAGTCACTACCTACAACTTTTGTATGCTGTCTGACCACTTTACTAAGTTTGAAGAGTGTTGGTCATCTCTTCTTACTAAGTGTAATTTGTGCTGCCTATTATGAATTTTGATTTGATTTCTTTAATCTTTTGTCGTAACCAGCACTGCTGACTAGAAATAAAGTATTAGGCGAAATTATTCTGCCTCAATTCGACTGTTTCAGAACACTCTGTCTAGAATGCCTATTCACTCATTCCAATCACACTGGTTCTAATCCCATTTTAAGTACTATCCGCCAAAGATTTAATTCAAACCGCAGTGCATACAGATAAGTTGTGTCCACTGGGAATAGGATAAATTGTGGTTGACGCAGGTTTTCATATACTCAGACAGCATAAAACTATTTTCACTTACTTTTGATTGCATTCATTTCACTGGATGAATGAATGGCGGTTTTTATCACGAAAAGGGCAGGATTTCAGAAGAAGTCGTCCATTCTGTCTTCAAACTTGTTTCTCTAGAAATCAACACATTCACTCTCATTGTCTTGAAACTCAACACAATTAAACAAGAAAGACAGAAACAGTCATCCACTCCATTCATTCAGCATGACAAGTGGCAGTAAAAGTTGAAAATCTAGAAGGTCGTCACTTCACGGATAATTCATGTCACATGTCACACAAACTTGGAGGTATACAAGCGAATACGAAAAATAAGGTGAATACATAGAAGACGAAGTGGCTGAACAAACACTCCCAAGCACCAGTTGTGGCAGAACGATGATTTCGACCATCCCACCTGGACAATCGAATCACAATATTCATACACATTCGGATGTTTCAACTAACTCGATAATTACTACCTGTTCATCTCCTAGACTGGTTCAACAGAATACTATGCATATTTCAACTTCCTATTTCATGTTGTTTGAAGTCAACTGAAATCAAACAACCAGTGATTGATTAAATAATATAAACTCCAGTTTTACAAAACAACGATTTGGTTATTCAATAATATACCTTGACTACTGTATCATCCATTCTGCTGTAACAAAATTACTGAGGAATTTTACCAAGAGCTGTAACGCAATGATAGTCATGAACAAATAGCAAGAAACGAAAGAAATTTAACAGGCTGCAGAGAGGGAAGAAAAAGAAAAACTTGTTACATTACACATATACAAATATACCCAGAGACTGTATATTACATCAAGCCACAAAACGTTCAATGAAGACATAAGAAAGGTTATATGAATAAGAAGTAAAGGATTCTGGAAGTTAGTGTAGCCAGTTATAGGGGAGAGCGGAAAATCGAGTGTAGTGGAGATATGCCTCTGAAGCCCTATGTTCAACATGGAACTCAGGAGGTCAATAAGAAGGAGAAGAAGCAGGAGAATTTACGCCACACTTTGAACTTTCCAATTATTTCGCTACTCAGATTAAATCATCGTTCTTTTTGCCAATATATGCATAGTGGCTACTAGCAAGTAACCAGTCTCTCCTTTACAAAATAAACCATACTCAAACTTCGAGCGAATCAGTTAGTCACCTGCCTCACTTCACTGTTGAAAATACAGTCTTAATCAAGTCAACTGGAACCTGAATCAGGAAGCAGAGGAAAGACTTAACTTCAATTATTTCGACTGTGAACAAACAAGTGGGTCTAAAAATTGTAAATCTTCTGATATCGTTCTCACAAACATGTCTTCCCAAGTTCGTTACAGAGTTTGAGTTGGAAACTAACTACAAGCTGTAATGTTTCAGACTATTTCGTTACAGTGAAACAATCTGCATTCTGTGTAATGCGAGGTTAACTGATTTATCTGACTGAACTTTAGTGTTAGTAGCCTTGGCCTCTCCGTGTTTATACACTTGACTTCAACATTTTTGCAGTGTCCATGTAGGCACATCTAAGTGTTTCATGGTATTCACAACTAGTAAGGCAAATTATCCGCATTCACCAAACTCATATAAACACTTATTGGCAACTAAGCGTTGAGCTTCCTATTCAGCAAACTGCCAAAATTGGAAAGCAAAAGTGACTTTGTGAAGTCATTGGCTTTCCCCGCGCATTTGCTAATACAGACAGTAGTGGTCACCTATGTCTCATTCAAGTGGTTACTTCTTTTCACTACCATCCAATCTTAGCAAAATGCACAAACTCTACAACCAGCAATCACAACGTATTGGTATCATCGACACGAATATAAGTACGTTATTCAGGCCTCTAACAGCAGGATGACACTCTTATTATTGTCATGTTCCTGAATGAACCTCTTGCTCACGAGAGAATATGATAATTACTACTCGTACAACAGTCCACAGTATTAGTCTATTCTGTGGTAGGCCTCTGAATCATTTCTCAGTGTGCGTGGTTGCAGGAACACGCCAGTCATCCTTAATTCCAGTATCACGAGTTACCTATTTTACCACACTGCAAGCTATCAACAATACTGCGATTCCGAACTCTCCTATTATTCAACAGCTAACTAAGTTACATAATCGTGTTTATCTGTTTCGATCGAGCACTTCAGTCCAATCGATCATCGGAAAAGTCTAAATTGAATTAATGATAATGACAACTGAGGTGGAGGTCAACAGCACTCAGCATCAAAATTAAGATCCGGATTTTCAACTCCAATGTGAAGTCACTGCTACTTACTATACGGATCAGAGACTTGCACTGCGCGTCATAAAGAGCATCTCAAACAAACTACACACCTTCATCAACAGCCAGTTGTCTTCGCTCAATACTCAAGATCAGATGGCCGGCCGGCCAGAAAAGATCAGTAACAGAGAGGGATCTCTGGCAATGAGTGAACCAACCAGGAACCGATTGTGAAACAAATAGGCAGGAAGAAATGGAGATGGATTGGCTGGCCATACTCTCAGGAAACCAGCAAGTGAGATCACTAGACAAGCCATTGCTCGAGTGGAACCCGAAAGGCAAGCGGCGAGAACCGAACTCAATGGAGACGCACGACTGAAGCCCTATGTTCCTCTAGGAATTAAAGGAAGCAATAATAATAACAACTGATAATCGTTGCAGAACAGGTGGCTCTCGTGACTCAATCGTTGAAGTGGATAGCGCTTGGCGCATCTTGAATTCTACAGGTAATCGCCACCCACCAAAGAATGTCCACTATTCCTTTATCCAAACTTATCTCATTAGGCGTTGTGTTTCAAATGCTTCATTTCAACCAGATTTAATACGTGGATGAACTGTTCAACGCGCATTTATATCAAACACACAATCTTCATGTTTCCCCTATCAGTTTACGAACTAAGTCACTTAAAATTCAGGTTATTAGAGACTATTCCAAAACAAATGTGTTTACATCATTTTCGACAAGACGGGAACAAATTCATGAGTCCAAAGTACCTGCATAATATCATAATTATTCATTCTTTGCATCTCCAATAGAATGGAGCACTTCAGTCAATCTCAGGACCAGACCAAACTCGTTCAATCTGATTCAGGTTCTACTCGAAGACCTGGTGTGAAGCGTAATTTAAAGATCTTCTTAGCGCACATTCAATCCATCTATCTGACGACTCGCAGTCAGACTTCCTCGAATTTTACTCTTTCTTGTCGGTCATTCGATATTCGGAATAGAGAGAAAGTGGCTGTGAATGAAAGTCTGCAGTGATCTGTTGGAAATACTTCTGGTGATACGCTCATCAAGTCTATGAACTATGTGGGAGCACCGACCCTTTTGACATTTATATTGAAAATGCGTGTGTACTCCTGATAACTGAAAATCACCACATTAATTTCAGAGTAATGGACACCTATCCTAATCTGTCAATACTACCAATAACATCTCCATCACTGTTCCATATTTCCTACTTTTCCTCCTACACATCAACCGATAATTAGGAAGTCAGTCGACATTTTAAACCAGCCACGATACTCTTTATTCGGCCAAAGTTTATTCCATCCTACTTTGCACTCGTTACTGTGTATACCGTCTCACCATGGCGAAGGCAACCATCAAAATCATTGAAAGCCATTAGGTCAAGAAAAAATGTGATAAGTTTGTATTACATTTACTAATAACGATTCTACAGAAGTAAAACTAATAATGTGTGCACTGAAATAACAAGTTGTCTCAGAAAACAGAAATCTGCTTTATCCAAAGCTAATCAAGTGTCAATGAAAATATTACAAAATAAAATACATAAGTCATCAACCATTATTATTATGGGACAAAATTCGAAACATCGCACATTATCTGGGCAAAAGTTATTGTAGAACAAAGTAGATTATTGCACCAATAACTGCAACTCCTGCGAGACAGCCGAATACAATTGCCACAATTATTCCTGTTCCCATACCTGTCACGAATATGATAACAACATAATGTAGTGTGATTAACGAAAAATAAGCACAAAGGAGTTTTTACACACAAATAGAAATCTGATAAAACAAACGTAATCTTACGGTAGAGATGACTTTAGGATTTGTGGATTTCTCACAACAGTTTAATTACAAGCTGTCAGGGTGTCACAAATATCTGATCGCTAATTTAGAGAGAACTTTCCCAGCTACTTAAAACTTCATTCTACATGCACATTCGCTGTGTCTAGCCAACGACTTCACCTCTTTCATCCTGAGATGCTTGTTTATCACTATTCACTGTCAAATATTTCTCATGCACCCACAAACATGATACGTGATGTCTTTCGTTTGTTTAGGCATGAGGAAACAACATCACAGTCTCTATGTCGAAATCACAAAGATCATGTTTACATGAGGACGTAAGTATACCACATTGCGTCACTCTCTGCAATAAGCATGTGCGTGCGTGTGTATGCCTTTGTAGTCCTCTTCACTGTTTAGAATAATTCATAAGGGAGTTGTCGTCACTGAAGGGAAATTAAGGAAAGAGCCAAGACTCCTTCGAGTGGAGCGTGAATAGGAGGCGATGAGTTGGCTGTGCTGCCAGCGTAAAATGCAAGAGGAAATCAAAGTGATCATGCAATTGATTGAGAGCGACTTCAGAGAATCGAGTGAAATAGAGGTGTGCTCCTGAAGCTCTACGCTTCAGTCGAAAACCAGTCAATGAACAGTAGTAATAATGATAATAATTTCATGCTGAAATAAATGGAAAATGTGATGTAAATATCTACCTAACTGAAGTATAGTCAAGATGAAATGAATTCAGCCTTCGTATTATAAAATGACGACAAAGTAATTAAGCTAATAACACTCTGCATGAATACCATTCAATTAAAACACCGACTCACCGCCTTTGCCTTTTGAGTCATCAGGTTTACGCGTTGAAGTAGAAGTATCCATCGTAGAAGTTGTCACTGTAGTCTTAGCTGCACCTTCAGAAGTGGTTCCACTCATAGTGGTAGTCTCAGGAGTGGTTTCACCCATAGTTGTAGTCCCTGGATTGGTTTCACCCATAGTTGCAGTCTCTGGAGTGGTTCCACCCATAGTTGTAGTCTCTGGAGTGGTTTTACTCATAGTTGTAGTCTCTGGAGTGGTTTCACTCATAGTTGTAGTCTCTGGAGTGGTTTCACCCATAGTTGTAGTCTCTGGAGTAGTTTCACTCATAGTTGTAGTCTCTGGAGTGGTTTCACCCATAGCTGTAGTCTCAGGAGTGGTTTCACCCATAGTTGTAGTCTCTGGAGTAGTTTCACTCATAGTTGTAGTCTCTGGAGTGGTTTCACCCATAGTTGTAGTCTCTGCAATGGCTTCAGCCACTTTGTTATCATTATTTACGTTTGGATCTCCGTCCTCTTCGTCGTCTGCCGGTGATTCTTCATCTGCCCTATCTACGTTTTCAGCTCCTTCCACTGGTCCTGCTGCCACTGGTTCTGCTTCCAGTGAGCCGTCATTATTCTGTGATCTGACTAGTATCAACTGCAGTATGCAAATAAATACTACGGAGAACTTCATTGTATTTTTGTTTAGCGTTTGATATTGTCTGAAAAGTCATATGAAAATAAACTGTTCAGTTAATCAAAAATTGTGCATTGACTGTGTGATCCACGTCACATAGTATTCTTAGCAAAGATGCGTTCAAATTTCAGGAAACAGCATATTGCCTTAAACATGAAATAACAAGTCCTATAAATATGAGATAATGTTACTGTCAGTATTGCACTCATCGATAACCGTGTTGCTTGTTAAGAGTATCTTAATTGTCATCACAATGATAAGGGAAACAGAGGTGTCTATTCAACACTAAATCTTTTTCCCTTGCATAAGCTGGTGTCAGTATCCAAATTGTACGTCGGTGCCATCAGTGTTAGAGTGCTCACCAACCACGAATTTGGGTTGAGTTTGATTCCTGTCTCAATGCTGTCTTAAGCCTCACACACTACCAGTAGTCAGCTCAGCTTCGTTAAGAAAACACGACTACACTGAAACGTGGAACGTATTAAAGCACTTCACAATTTACAAATTATCATTATTTTATCATTATTAATAAATTATTGTGTTGAACTTACTTCAGAATACTGCCACGCAGAGATGAAGCAGAGAATTCAAGACCTGAGGTTACTTATAGCGGAATATCTTGTCTGTGATGAATATACAATGCTCACCTGCAGGTTTATATAGTTATTTATAATAATAATTATTATCATTATTATTACTACCATTATTATTACTGGACAATGTACTTTCTGTTTACTCAACTCTCACTGGCATCCAGTAGTAAATACCCTACACGATGTGTCCTTCATTCACGTGAAACTCAACAACATAAACAAAGTTATCTACCTACATACAAAATATTCACATTCATTTGTTACTGAGAATTAATAATATTAAGGCCACTAATTAATTAACAATATTGATAATAACAGTAGGTAATTAGGCAGTAGAATAGAAGGGGTAAAGCATACGACCAAGCCTCTGTTTGCATACATTGAAATAATCATAGGAGTATTACAAAGTTAGGAGGGCAAGTTATAAGTTGATGTGGAGTGCAAAATTGACAATACATGGTATGTGAGACTAGAAATAAAAATAGTCAAATCAACATTGTGGATAACGACTGAATGGTGCTCCATGTGGGTTTTAGATCTTCACGTGTTGTTCCCTCAATAACACGGTTTACCGAAAAGGCAGAAATCCAAGGGGACTCTCTGTTCCACATCAGACGTCTCAATCACATTATCATGAGAATGCAAAGTCGCTGGTACAGGTAGTTGAATACCTTCGTGATCAGCTAGTAAAACGCACCATCAATCTACTGCTAAGATTAAAAATAATTTGAAATCAACACATACATGTGTCATCCATTGATGCGTCCTACTTATTCATCAATAACGTGCCTCTGGTAGACGGCATGCATTATGTATGACACCAGATTATAGACCGACTATGGTGCCCGCATATTCACATTAACATTGTGAGTCATTTGCTGGATGAACTGTGAAGCCTTCCAAGCCAGCCTCGTAAATTGCACAGACATTCCACGTCCCCAATCTTATTCTTGCTTTCATAGGGAGAAGACACATTGGCTGGCTGACTGGCTTTCTGAAGACTAGCTTTCACCAGCCTACTGTGTCATTTCGCCTCTCCGACTCCAACGAAGAATAAGATTACCGTTTGAATTTTTTGTATTTTTAACATATTTCTTGTGATCGAAGTTTCTCCAGCAGTTTGATAGGTTTAGTGGTGTAGGGTTGCTAGCAACAGACCAAACCCTCCCTCCATAACCAGGCTTGGGACTGGATAGCGAACTAGCAAGTTTGTCAACTAGGCGAGGTCAAGGAATATATTAGCTATGAAAAAACTAAGTTGAGTAAAAACTACAGGTCAGTGAACAAAGAAGTGAAGCAGAATGCTTGGAAAGACAAATGATAGCGAGCTAGTTAACTAAGCGAGGTTATTATATACATTATTTGCAATTAATAGTGTTCTCTGAGCTGGTTGGTTTAGTTGCGGAGCTTTCGTCGTCCTTCTGGACAACATCTTCAGCGCCATATTTAGCATAAAGTGAAATGATTTAAATTTCTTCATGAGTGATATAACTGCGTCTCCTGGTAACCATCTTTACATATGTATTGACCATTTTCTATTCACTTGGATTTTAAACTTTCTGGTCACCTGATTTACTTTTTATTAGTTGGCATATTTCGTCTATATTAACGTGCTTGTTAATTGCATTTTCGTTTGAGTACCAGGCTTCTAGGAATTCCCTGACTGCACTACTGGTGTTTCCTCTGTCTAAGATTTTGACATTATCCCAATCAAATTGACGACCATAATTGTCTGTATGCATTGATACAAAAGAATACATATCGTGTCGTTTCACGGCTGATTTGTGTTCTTGAATTCTGATTCGAAGGGGACGCCCACTTTGGCCGATGTAATGCATGTTGAAGTTCATACAATTTATTTTATAAATGGTATTAATTTTATCCCCTTTTTCTGTTGGATCTTTCGGTTTGCATAATATCGAAATAAGTGATTTGACTGGCTTGTGTGCTATATCTGTATCAAACGGTTTCAGTATTCTAGCTGTTATTTCAGAGATATTTCTCGTGTATGGTAGAATGAGTTTTCTTGTGGTCTTTGATAATGGTTTTTTGTTGGTGTTTTGATTCGACTTTAAACACTTCTTGATGAAATTTTGTGGATAACCATTCTTTTTGAAGACCGTTTGTAGGTACTTTTCTTCCATTCTTTTCAACTCTGGAGTGCTACAATGTGTTTGAACTCTTTTGAACAATGTCTGCACACAGTTTCGTTGGTGAGTAACTGGATTATTGCTAGTTTAGTTGAGTATTTGATCTGTAGGCGTTGATTTTCTATATACTTGTGTTTCTAAATATCCTGTGTTGGTTCTCCTGATTAAGACATCTAAAAATGGGATTTTGTTATCTAATTCTTCTTCTCTTGTGAATTTGATGTCTTCAAATATGTTGTTTATTAATTTATGAGTATATTCTAAATCATTTCTCTTAATTATTTCAGATGTATCATCAACGCAACGTATCCAGATTTTCGGTTTAATTATAGGTAGAGCTATTGATTCTAATATTTGCATAACAGCTTCAGCTATTAATCCTGATATGGGCGATCCAATTGGTGTTCCTTTTATTTGTTCATATATTCGAGTATTGAACTACAAGTATGTTATAAGACATAATTTTAAGAGTTCTATCCAAGTAGATAAATGCGTTTCTATGTTTCCATCACTATAGAGTAATTGCTGCAGAGTTTCTGTTGCAAGTTTTGGACTAATTGAAGAACATAATGATATGACAAAAAAGCACATCATTATTTCATTGCCTTCTAATTCAATGCTTAACATTTTCTCTAAAAATTGGATTGACGAATTGATAGAATGGTCGCATGATTCATTATTCATAATTCTTTCACATTTACACATATCATGTTATGCGTTGTATGATATTAACAACTATGGTCGTGACAACTCATCACTTTTGTTAATCCCCTATTTCATGAGATAAACATTGCATATAAACGCGACTGTACAGCTTAATGAATGAATTCACTGAAGAGAGTCTCTTCACTCAACTACCTTTCTTTTACTCGTTAGTGTCTTGATGGGGATCATTCATGAAATGAAATGAGATTTGAGTCACACAATGGTTTATGAATGACCAATCATAGTATACACCTACTTCCTCTCTGTTATGCATACACTCATAGGTAGTAGATAAACTCTTCCACATAAATCCAAAGAAAACATATAATATTTATGTGTATATGCATCAACATGTGCAGAGATTTTGAAATAGGCCTTGAGAAGAAATATATCGCCAAAAGATATCATCATTTCGTAGTTTTTTCACCATCACTTCACAACTAGGAGGGTTCACATGACTGAAATAAGATCTGTGAAAATTACACATTTACAACAGTAGTGCATTCTATACATGTCCAAACCAAGTTCACTATCAACAGTTTGAAACAATTTGGGCATTCGGTGTATGATATTCATTATAATAAAGGCTTTTGTATTTCCCAGTATCGTTTTGTTTTTCATTCATTGGGAAATACAAAAACCTTTATTATAATGAGTAGTACATACTAATAACCTAATAGAGATTTCGTTGGTTAGACAATATCATCCAGTGTGCATTAGTTCAGGTGATAAGGTTTTCTGTGGGTATTTCATAAGATCTGAGTAACTTGAGTTACACAAGCTACACTTCTTTCGACTGCCTACAACATATTTTTTGCTTTTACGCTGTGAAGCACAAATATTCTAGTATAAGTTGTAGTAGTAGTAATAGCAAAAGTAGTAGAGTAGTGTAGTAGAAGTAGTTGTATTTGTGCTGGTCATTATAATCAGACCGAAATTCCTTAAGATGATCAATAATAATTATTATTATAATTATAATAGTGTAGTGAAAGCCTTACTGCCTTTAGACTATTCAGTCCTGTATACTAATTACTCTGTGAGTAATTATGCTGACCTTCATTTTCTTAATTATAGGTAGACTTTGTGAAGATAAACACAATGTACGGATTGTACACAGTGATAGACACAAAATGTGGAATGTTTAGATAATGAATATGAATATGAATACAAATCTATATTATACAAGCACTACTTCTTTTATGGTTATAACCACATAAGTGATTTCTAATTACTTCTCATTTGAATTAGTTATGTTCTCTGAGTTGATGTGTTTGCTTGTGAAGCTTTCGTTATCCCAGTCGGTACCCATTTCTTCAGAGCAGATTTTGGTATTTGAATTCCCCGTGTATGATGTAATCGTATCTCCTGGCAACCACTGTCGTGATCGGCTGTCACCTTCCGTCTCTGTTGATCGCTTGTATTGACTTGGAATTCAAAATTTCTTCTCATGTGGTTTACTTCTTATCAGAGGGCCAATTTGGTATACTCTAGTGTGTTTTTTAATTGCAGGATGACTCAGTTGAGTATTAGGCTTCACGAAATTCCCTGACTGCATTTGTGGTGTTACTTACATCTAATATCTCTACATTATGCCAATCAAGTTGGTATCCACAATTATCTACATCCATTGATACGAAAGAATATATATCATATCCTTCTGCAGGTGATTTGTTCTCTTGTTTTCGCATCCTGAAAGTGACACCCACTTTGACCGATGTAATGGAGAATGCAATGAAGGCGATTTCATACTAGAGCCTGCGCTGAAGATGTTGTCTACAAAGGACGACGACAGCTTTTCATTTAAGCCAAATGGCTAAGAGAACACAGCTAATTCAATATCATCCACCTGAGCTACAAACCTTCTCCATTATCAATTGACGTTTTCTCCTTTCTTTCTTCTAACTCCTCATAACCTTTGTATTTCCTTGCAACTCTTACATAATTCCGTATTTTCATTCGTTTCTATGTGCATCCATCCTGATTACAACTCACTCTCTGACCTATACCAGCTCTTCATGAAATCCTGTAACCAATCATTCTTCAATTTACTCATCTTATGACATACCTCTTACGTACACTTTCAGGACAGAATTTTAAATAAGTGGGATTGTTGAGACAATGAGGGAAATGAACTGGCTGAAGAGAGTCTCTTCTCTGAAATACGTATCTTCTTTTCGTTAATGACT